GCAAAACTTTTTTCGCTGCTTGTAAGCCATCTAGGTGGCACATGTTGTCATATGAAAAAAAAACGGAACTCCAATTCATTGGGTTGATTTCCTTTAACATAATGCGCAGCCAAGAAAGAGTTATCAAAAACACTTGAGAAGGGCTTTCAGATCTGAAAAAAATTAATTGTTACGTAAATGTATAATAAATACAAAGTTTTTCTGAAGATGCGCTTTTGTCAAGCATTCTCTGTGCTTACCTATAAAGAGGACTCCATTTATCGATTATTCCTCCTCCTCTAACTATAAACAAATGCCCTCTTGACCACTTTTGAAGTCTTTGTTTCCCCCCAGTTTCCTTATTGCATTTTGTTTTTGTTGGTTCAACACAATCTCTTAAAATAGCTTTAATTGCATCTGGCTCATTATTAACGAACTCAGCATTGCCTATATGGAACAAATTAGCGTTAGCACTAGTTATCAATTGTGTTTAGAAACGACACACAATACACTGCTTTGTTGTTCCATGCATTGTTCAAAAAGAATGAAACACCTACACAAGGCTTTCTAAGTTCTAACCGACAAGAAATTTGTCAAGAGATTTGGTTTTCATTTACAAAGAATGACTTTGAGGCTTGAGGCCTGAAACTTTTGACGCCACACTTTTATAAACATTGAAAGTGCGAGAAGGCAAAGAAAAAGCACGCAAAATCAAAATAATCCAAAGTAACAATTTCCCCACCATCACGCGTGCATGTATAACTATAATCCAAATGCTGTCATAAAAAGTTATTTTTCTATCTTAAAAAAATAATAAGTTATTAATTATCGGTACCAATGTATTGAAATTTCATCATATATATAATATGGATGAGGTTAAAAATTCAAATTCATGCCGTCATTCACAAACCTGCTTTATAACACACTGTCATTAACGACCACTTTTACGTTAGTAGGAAAACTTAGGTTTCACTGATATATATTACTATATTAGCTACAATGTAAAACTGTTTTTCATATTGTGAAATAAACAAATTTTAGACAAATATACCTTGTGACTCCACAACACTATTTCCTACTGGAAAAGTGTCGTCATCTTTATCAAGCTTTCCCAGTGTTTCGTCCATTTTTGACACGTCATTGTTAGAAAGCAGACCTGTGTCGTCAATCAATTCTTCACCTATAAAATAGAGTAATTCTTTGTAGTAATTTTCTGTCAGCTCTGTAATACACATATCATTGAGATAAATTTAGAGAAAGGGTACCAATTTCCTGCAAAATACTATATACCAAAGCAAGAGCAGTTGTGATTAAGTGTAAAAGCTCTGTTAATGTATCTCGAATTGATCATGAAAAATCGGACTTTATTCTCAAGCATGATTATAGTCATGACAATTTTGGAGTACATACCTATGTTACTTGGCTTCACACCACAATATCTTAAAATCCACGCACACTAGTGGGTACATTAGGAAGTTTTTTCCAAATATTGCACATGCTGTTCGCAGAATGCCTTTCCATGCTGAGGCGACTCAGTGCATACATTGGGATAGTTCAGCAATGGAATACCTTTTACAAAATTCTGAAAACAATTTCATATAATATTATTAAGTTACGAAAAGCAAAGGAGTAATTTTATATAAAACTAAGATAAGTACCTTTCTACGCATCATGCAATGAGGAAACATTAATTTCCATATTCCATCGGCAACCCATAGCCTTCCACATCCTATAAGTTTGATTACGAAAATATCTTAGCCTGATGAGAATCACAGCTATTTTCCAATAGAATATATTTATAGCTTTTAAACTAATTTTAAAATACAATTGCATCTAACTTACCGCGCTCTTTGCAAGTATCAGAACAATCATCTGATGTATGCTCGTACAAACTTCTCGCCCTAATTTTGTCGATTTGTTCTAGAACCCTAGAAGAGTCCCCATCTTCTTTAAGCAAACCAAAAAAGTCCAGTTGCCCCAATTCCCTCAACTCATTCTCCATCTCGCCGACCCAAAATGAAGCAGCAACTTGTTTCTCTCCAAAATCTTTATATAAAACGCAAATAATGCTTACCATCAAAAACTGTAACAACGTGATAACAGTAATACAGATCTACAACATATCGTTCTCTTACTGCCATTGTATACTTCATTAAACGCTTCAGAAAACCGTTAAATGATACCCACGAATGACAACTATAGAAAACATGTTTCATTTGTAAAATCTACTTGCTATTTTAACATTAATTAATCAAGTGATTATATTGTAACTTACGCAGTGACAGCTGCCACTGAAGCAAAGTTGAATCAACAAAACAGAGATCCGTAGCCTCGATCATTTTTCTTTGTTCGGGATATAACATCCAGCCATCTTTCCCATTACCGTACTTGGAATATCCATAAAGCAAATTACAGCGATTGCATCTAAGCGAAACTTTCACTCCATCGGTAGTTCCAGAAAGATCGTGTACCTGAACTTTTACTGGCTTATTGTAGCTCACAAGATCATGGTTGCACTTAATACATTTGGAGCATGGAGGTGTAAATACATGCAACTTCCTATCGGTTGTACTAGGAACTTTTAATTTAGAAGCGGACTGTAAAAGAACATTTCCATCTTCTTCTTCTAAATTGGGACATACCAAAGCCAACACTTCTTTACGTACATTCACGGGGAGTACAAGCAAAGAAGACGCAACATTGGCAATAGAGCACACAAGTGACAACCCATATTTCAAAACAAGAACAAACAGAATTACATCAACATTTAGATCATTGCAGACTTTCAAATTAATAGATTGGATATCACTTAATATCCTCGACCCCACATATTCTTGATGTAGTTCCTCGTTGACATCTTTTCGCAAATCGTCAACCGATTGACAATTGTTACGCCTGCGCTTCGACATATTTTCAGCTTTTCCTAGTCAGAAATGATTTCGGCTTTCCCCAGTGATCCAGTGAGAAATGACTTTGGCTTTTCCCAGTCAGAAGTCATAGGAAATACTATTATTATGCATATTAAGCAATCTCGATTGCAATTGGCTAGAACCTACCTACACTGCTATAGGTGACATATCATATAATTGTCCATGCAAAATTGTAAATAAAAAGTATAATGGCAGACTCTTGCTCGATATTTGCAAGTGTTTTGCAAACTTTTCGCTCGAATTATTGAGTATTAAGACGTAAAATAAACGGAATGGGTTAAATTGTCAGTGAGGAGAGTTTTCATCGAGTATTTTGGGAGAAAGACGAATGCGACACTGCGGACATTACGTCATTCGAGTGTGATAGTGTGATGTCGTGTGATGCATCACAATATTGCTAGCCAAAGTAGCAAAAAATATATCGCGCATCAGATGTTCATTTTCAGTATGAAATGTCAAAGTTTCTAACTTTCTCTTTTACGAGTAATTCTGGTTACTGAGCTTATGCCACGCTATGAAAATTCGAGAGCACAAAACTTTGAGTTCAGGATAAGATAATACGCAAATCGTAGGTTTTAATGCTTATTGCGATAAATGCAAAAGCGTTTGAATGAATTGAATTCACACGACCAAGGAGCAAGGCCTCATCCTCGTGCCTCTTGCCGGAGCACGCACTGCAAATTTCTAGCCGTAATTGAGATTAAGTGTCAGTATTTACCACTTGTAAACATTCCTTAAAAATGGCTGCAAATCTACTTCCTTACTTACGGGAATAATGCAATCGAAGGAAGTTGACTTTTCACGTTAATAATACACCTTCCACTTTGCCCTTAATGCTCCGTATCTTAGGTTCATAGTAAGACCTAGTTGTCGCTCTCAAATGTGTGAAAAGTAAATATCATTTTTTAAAAAATCTATTATATGATATTCATTTCATATTATATTTTTTTGGGTAAAACTTTCGTGTGCGACATTCAACTGTTAGCAAAGCCCAAAAAATTCTAAAAAAAGTGCCGCAATGATAATTGGGGTGAGCACAAACTTTTATAACATTTTATTTTCATTTTTGTTTTGCTGCATACAGAGGTTCTAGCTTTATTAATTTCTCAAACATCGCTTTGATGTTTAGTTTGACTTGGTCATAATGTCGGACACAGTAATGCGTTTGCGCCTTGTACTTTCAACTTTTTGACTATCTTCATTAAGCTTATACATTAGCTTCCCGTACTTGTGTACTTTGATGCACCTAAGAATGGAATGGCAGCACTTTTCTTCCTTTGGTAACTTCTAGTTGTAGATTACCAAACTACTTATGTACAGCTTGATCAATGATAGAGAGAAAGAGAGCTGTTTCTGTCTTTTACAAATGTTTTAGTAAGATGTAAAGCTGTATAGATTACTCTTTAGTGAGATTCTACACATTACACGTATGACCTGCAAATTCGTAACAGTCAATACCATTACATAATCATAAAACTTGTTGAGATCATAAAATATTAACAAACATTTACCTTCATAGTTAATGGTCAGACCAACCTTGTTGTACAAAGGTGAACAATCTCTTTTTACAAAATGTGACTTCCCTTCAGGCCAGGAATGCATCCACACAATGGCGTTTGTGTGTGTGTTTTTTTTGGGGGGGGGGGGAGGGAAGGTACTCTAGTTTGGATTAGATTTCAATGGCAACTTGTTATAGTAGGATGTCATATTTTTTGTTTTATTCTGTTATCTTTTAATTATGATTGGAGGAATTTTTTTTCCTTCACCATATTTACACCCAAGGCTAGGGTGGTGGCCCACCCCTCCCCTGAATCTGTTCCTACTTTTCTCCATGACTTGCAGCACACTCATATAATTTAAACGTATGCTAGATGAATGTTTGATGAAACCCTTAATATTACATTGATTCATCTTTGTTCTGTGCAACGGGGGAGGGTAGGGTGTGTATAACTATGCACTTTGTGTAAATATAGCGGGGAGGGGAAGGACTATAACAAGCATAATTGCCAAAGCCAAAATTTTTTTCGAAAGCAGTTTTCTTTATTGAAGCAATTAGTTGAAAATGAATTGATAAAAGAGGAAAATCCATCGTCACGAAGGAGATTTTTTAATTCCTAAAATTAGTAAAATTGCAAAGTTAGGTTGAAAAATTTTGTAAACTTAATCGACGCCAATGTTTGTGAACGATATATGTTATATATGGCGTGGAAAACGTCCATACTTCAATATGAATTTGGTTTATTAAAATATGTTGAACTACGATTTTAAAATACACCACTTAATAAGCCGTTCTTCTCTCTTCTCTTAGTCGTAATGGTTATTGATGCTGTTTCAAAATATGTTAACGTTCAGTGTCAAGACACAACACAACGCAACTTTACACCCGTCTATCTCTCTGGCTGATGGCCCGCATTCATACATCATAATACAAGTAAGATGAACTATTTCTTATACGTGATATCAAATTTGGCAAGCGTGAAACATATAAATTATCACACACAAAATAATTATAAAAGCACGCTACACTCAGAATGTGCGATGTAAAATAAAAGGAATATACATGTTTTGTCTATGATATAGAGAAAAGGCGATTTATCGCTATGTGCATTAAACGAACACCGCAAGCTAGCTACATATATTGTTTTCGTCAGGATATTTCCTCACGAATAAAATTATAAACATTCCAACCAAACAACGCTTGCCAAATTAAACTCGAAGTTCTTAACAGAAATATGTCTATATATATTTAAGCGTAATCCTATTAATAGTTCCCCAACGTTGAATACGACAGGGTAGATATGGCCATTTATAATTAGATATTAGTGGTGCGAGAGTATTAGTGTCATTCATTTTAATGTTTATGTTAACAAAGTATTAAAAGGCCCTTTTTTTTCTTCTTGTCCACCTTTCCATGACCGTCGATGCTCCTGTTCAAGAGAATTTATTAATTAGTTCAAAATTAATTTTATTAACGGCCAAGTCGAAATTGCCAAACTCTTCGTAGCTTATCTGTGCATAACTTAGTTTATGTGAGAGCTTCAAGGAATGATGTATTACATTAAAGACAACATAGAGAGGATTTAAAGGAATGATGTATTACATTAAAGACAACATAGAGAGAACTTCAAGGAATGATGTATTACATTAAAGACAACATAGAGAGGATTTCAAGGAATGATGTATTACATTGAAGACAACATTGAGAGGACTTAAAGGAATGATGTATTACATTGAAGACAACATAGAGAGGACTTCAAGGAATGATGTATTACATTGAAGACAACATAGAGAGGACTTCAAGGAATGATGTATTACATTGAAGACAACATTGAGAGGACTTAAAGGAATGATGTATTACATTGAAGACAACATAGAGAGAACTTCAAGGAATTATGCATTGCATTGAAGACAACATAGAGAGAACTTCAAGGAATTGTGCATTACATTGAAGACAACATAGAGAGAACTTCAAGGAATTATGTATTACATTAAAGACAACATAGAGAGGATTTCAAGGAATGATGTATTACATTGAAGACAACATAGAGAGGATTTCAAGGAATGATGTATTACATTGAAGACAACATTGAGAGGACTTAAAGGAATGATGTATTACATTGAAGACAACATAGAGAGGACTTCAAGGAATGATGTATTACATTGAAGACAACATAGAGAGGACTTCAAGGAATGATGTATTACATTAAAGACAACATAGAGAGGACTTCAAGGAATGATTTCACTTCCTGAAGCTCTGCTCCTCTAATACATAAGCATTACCAACCAGTAGTGATGTTTTAACCAATAGTGGCGCCCTAACTTGGAACTGCTTCTTATAGACTAAGGCATGATCCATCAATTACCCACAGATGTACCTCAATGATACCAAGTGACCCTTACCTGCCATGCGAATTATGTCCGTTGTGTCCATCGAGAAAAACGGCATTTTGATTATGTTGAAAATTTTCTTTGTCTTTTCGAATCTCAGTCTTTTCTCGTTGATTTCTTTTGTAGTACTTCATTCGACAAGCGACTTTGTTCGTGTTTTTAGTAAACTAGTTAATAAAGGAGATAATGTTAAGTAAATATCAAGAATAATGGAAAGTCGCAAGTATTTCAGAAAGAAAAATAGATTGGGAACCAAGATGATTTGACTTCTCCGGATTAACTAAGCTTTCACGGGACTTAGGATTACTTCATGCAGGAACCTATATTTCCTAAATTTCTATTGCTTTCTTCCCCCGACGTAATTACACTTCTTCATGAGGTACTGCAAGTGTAAGATATAATTTCCATTTTTCAACACCAACCTCTGCTTCCATTTCTTTTAGCTTTTTTCGTTTTTCTTTCACTTTTGTCTCGAACACTTGTTCCATTTCAGATTCGGTTTTACTTATTTTACTTTCGCGTTCCTTCCTCTCCGCCTCAAGCTGTTCCAAAGGACTAAGACCCAAGGATCTACGGCTGTTTTAACATGAAATTAATCAATAACAACACACCAGAAGTACAATCATTTGCCCTGGGACAAAACATTGATACAACAACGTATTTGATTTAAGAAACTATCCACCCTCCCCGGGAACGAGGACACTTAAATTGAAATACGGGGTGCCTCACGATAGTATACTCGTCAATTACAATGTGCCAACATGGAATACTATGGTTATTTGTCATCTAAGCTCAGATAACCAAAAATAATTCCAACAAATGTACCTTGTGACGGTGGGTGAGCCCACGGTCACCGTAGCAAGACGTTTACAAAATTTTCGTAATGCACATCGTTCGTCACATCTTTCAGGTCCTGCATGTGAGTCCTAAATTAAAAGATGATTTAAACTTCTGCTTCAATTCTTGGAAATCAACAAAGTACTTCATTTCAATATACAAACTACAAGGTACTTCAAGATTACAACATCTTACCTTATAAGCATGTTACGAAGAGCGATAAAATCACAGTGATCCGAATTCTCAACTGAAAAAAGAAAACATAGCACAACTTATAACTTTGTGTAAGAAGCTTAAGAAGAAGTGAACGTTAAAGGTTAAGTATCGACAAAACTTAAAATTACTCAAAGCGCAAGTGATCTTAAATTAACTGGATAGTCTTCTTCAGAATCAAGGATGTCAAAGTACTTATAGTGGTCCTTAGTGGTAGTCATCTTCAGAATCAAGGATGTCAAAGTACTTAGTAATGGTCCTTAGAGGTACTCATTTTCAGAATCAAGGATGTCAAAGTACTTAGTAATGGTCCTTAGAGGTACTCATTTTCAGAGTCAAGGATGTCAAAGTACTTAGTAATGGTCCTTAGTGGTACTCATCTTCAGAATCAAGGATGTCAAAGTACTTAGTGGTACTTAGAGGTACTCATCTTTAACAGAGGGTGAAAACGTCAGTCAACACTAACGCCAACAGTCCTCCAGAGTACGGCCCTAACCTTGACGATTTATACATCTACATACATGTACTCCTTATCTTTTATCACTAAGCGTTTTCTTCTTGAGGCAAACACCGATTTAGGACTCAAAGTTGAACAAAACACGTACCTTCAGCTACACCCCAAGGATAGACTCTGGCCCGTAGTTTCTTTCCTCCTACCTCGACAACTGTATTGCTACCGACAACCGCAAATGGTATTCGATCCTAATGTTGGAAAATAAATGACTGTCAATGGTTGCCGAAGCGTACATTGTTCAAACAATTATGCCTTCTTTTAAGGCTTCAAGATGTACTGCGTCCGTTACACTTACAGTCATACTGACATCTTTTAAGTCTTCGTCATCAACGCCAAGTTCGGGAAACTGGTAGATGCCAATTTTGTTCGAGCCAATTTCATTCAGTATCTAAGATGACGACGAAAATCAGCTTGTGTACGCTGAGGGATGGCAATAAAATCTTCGTTCCGCTGGTCTCCACTTACTTTTTTTTTAAAGTTTTGACATTCCTCCGCGGTTAAACTGTCTGCCTTAGCAATTATTGGAACGATGTTTACCTAAGAAAATAATGAAAATTATTGGAACTTGATATTTTTGCTTTCACTAATGTATAATGGACATTGTTTGTCATTTATTGTGATGATTGACGACAAGTTGTGTGATAGTAACCTACGGAAATTTCCGTTCATTTATCGCTTGTCCGTCATGTCAATAAATTGCTAACCCACAAATGCAATGCACTATTGCTGACGGAAAAAACATAGCTACGGACATGAACTCAAAAAACCCCCGTTAAATTAACCGTAAGAGCTGACAAAAAACTGGCAGTGTTAGGTTTTGAAGCATGATTAATCTTTTCATTGATCGTAATTTACCTTATCGTGCAGCCGTTTCATAAATTCTATGTCCAGCGGTTTTAAGCTGTAATATATGATAAATTACATCAGCATAAAGTAAGCAGTAATTTTTATTGTGAAGTTAGTTACAATAAAAGGTTTTCTTGTCTTTGATAAAGTAGGAATACACAAATTAACATCTAAAAAGGAGGCGCAGTCGGTGGGTGACAATGGGTTATGGTGGATTATTGTGGATGAAAGTGAATGGTAGTGGATAACGTACATGACAGTGGATTGCAGCGAATGTTAGTGGATAACAGTGGATGACAATGACAATTGACAAATGACAAATATTAAATGGCGTCGCGGCGGAAGATGAAATATATAAATTCAAGATGAAACTTCAGAAGAGAATTTCTACTGCAGTGATTTATCGTACGTCTTTTACGCAGTTTATCTTCTAAATAATATATAAATTGTACTACCCATGAAAAATAACTCTTAGAATGAAAATATTTGAAATTACTGACGACAAAAACTACTCATCACAATTCACAAACAGATTTGTTCTTGGACTGTTAGTGTTTTACATTGTTTAGTTTTTTTAAATAGCAATACAACAATGTTCATTCAAACTCTACAAAACATGCAAGATGAACAGTCTCTGAATGGCGTACTTCATGTTGAATGTTCGTGTTTGCGTATTTCAACGTTAAAAGACAGCGACTTTAGTAAAAAGGCAAACTGATGGAGTATTTGTAAGTTAACAAAAAACGTTTGTTCTTTTTGATGTGGTGAAATGCATGAATAAGGCATCATTGAATAACTGCGCAGATTTGATATAAACATATTTTAACATATCTGTTTTTACGAGCGCGTTGAGATATTTCAAGCTACACGACCATTTAAGAAAGTGATGTCGTTAAATTTGATTGTGATGAGGAAGTTGTACTGAAGATGGCGTTAAAAGTAAGTCAAAGATTTTAGCTAATTTAGAAGCCTTCGTTTTCCTCCGATGCTTCTTGCGTTTTACACCAAAGAAAAACGCTGTTATTTTCCTTTAAAAACACAATTTTGTCACATTAAAATCGCCAAAAGTAAGAATTTAGGAACCGCTTGCAAGTGCTCACAAAGACGGTAAGCGTGACTAACTCGAGTTGGATCGATCTCTACCTTGCTGATTCTAAATTTACAATCTTTTGAAAACTGCGACAGACTGTTAATTTTAATAACGGCTAAGTCGAAATTGCCAAACTCCTCGTAGCTTATCTGTGCATAACTTAGTTTATGTGAGAACTTCATGGAATGATGTATTACATTGAAGACAACATAGAGAGGATTTCAAGGAATGATGTATTACATTGAAGACGACATAGAGAGGACTTCAAGGAAGGATGTATTACATTGAAGACGACATAGAGAGGACTTCAAGGAAGGATGTATTACATTAAAGACAACATAGAGAGAACTTCAAGGAATGATGTATTACATTGAAGACAACATAGAGAGGATTTCAAGGAATGATGTATTACATTGAAGACAACATAGAGGACTTCAAGGAAGGATGTATTACATGAAAGACAATATAGAGAGGACTTCAAGGAATGATATAATACATTAAAGACAACATGAGAGGACTTCAAGGAATGATGTATTACATTGAAGACAACAGAGAGGACTTCAAGGAATGATTTCACTTCCTAAAGCTCTGCTCCTCTAATACATAAGCATTACCAACCAGTAGTGATGTTTTAACCATTAGTGGCGCCCTTACTTGGAACTGCTTCATAAAGACTAAGGCATGATCCATCAATTACCCACATATGTACCTAATGATACCAAGTGACCCTTACCTGCCATGCGAATTATGTGCGTTGTGTCCATCAAGAAAAACGGCATTTTGATTACGTTGAAAATTTTCTTTGTCTTTTTCGAATCTCAGTCTTTTCTCGTTGATTTCTTTTTGTAGTACTTCATTCGACAAGCGACTTTGTTCGTGTCTTTTAGTAAACTAGTTAATAAAGGAGATAATGTTAAGTAAATATCAAGAATAATGGAAAGTCGCAAGTATTTCAGAAAGAAAAAATAGATTGGGAACCAAGATGATTTGGACTTCTCCGGATTAACTAAGCTTTCACGGGATTTAGGATTACTTCATGCAGGAACATAAATTTCCTGAAATTTCTATTGCTTTCCTCCCCCGACAAAATTACACTTCTTCATGAGGTACTGCAAGTGTAAGATATAATTTCCATTTTTCAGCACGAACCTCTGCTTCTATTTCTTTTAGCTTTTTTCGTTTTTCTTTCACCTTTGTCTCGAACACTTGTTCCATTTCAGACTCGCTTTTACTTATTTTACTTTCGCGTTCCTTCCTCTCCGCCTCAAGCTGTTCCAAAGGACTAAGACCCAAGGATCTACGGCTGTTTTAACATGAAATTAATCAATAACAACACACCAGAAGTACAATCATTTGCCCTGGGACAAAACATTGATACAACAACGTATTTGATTTAAGAAACTATCCACCCTCCCCGGAACGAGGACACTTAAATTGAAATACGGGGTGCCTCGCGATAGTATACTCGTCAATTACAATGTGCCAATATGGAATACTATGGTTATTTGTCATCTAAGCTCACATAACCAAATACAATACCAACAAATATACCTTGTAACTGTGGGTGAGCCCACGGTCACCGTAGCTAGACGTTTACAGCGGAAATTTTCGTAATGCACATCGTTCGTCACATCTTTTAGGTCCTGCATGTGAGTCCTAAATTAAAAGATGATTTAAACTTCTGCTTCAATTCTTCGAAATCAACAAAATACTTCATTTCAATATACAAACAACAGGGTACTTCAAGATTACAACATCTTACCTTATAAGCATGTTACGAAGAGCGATAAAATCAAAGTGATCCGAATTCTCAACTGAAAAAAGAAAACATAGCACAACTTATAACTTTGTGTAAGAAGCTTAAGAAGAAGTGAACGTTAAAGGTTAAGTATCGACAAAACTTAAAATTACTCAACGCGCAAGTGATCTTAAATTATCTGGATAGTCATCCTCAGAATCAAGGATGTCAAAGTACTTATAGTGGTCCTTAGAGGTAGTCATCTTCAGAATAAAGTATGTCAAAGTACTTAGTGGTCCTTAGTGGTAGTCATCTTCAGAATCAAGGATGTCAAAGTACTTAGTGGTCCTTAGTGGTAGTCATCTTCAGAATCCAGGATGTCAAAGTACTTAGTGGTCCTTAGTGGTAGTCATCTTCAGAATCAAGGATGTCAAAGTACTTAGTGGTCTTTAGTGGTAGTCATCTTCAGAATCAAGGATGTCAAAGTACTTAGTGGTCCTTAGTGGTAGTCATCTTCAGAATCAAGGATGTCAAAGTACTTAGTGGTCCTTAGTGGTAGTCATCTTCAGAATCAAGGATGTCAAAGTACTTAGTGGTCCTTAGTGGTAGTCATCTTCAGAATCAAGGATGTCAAAGTACTTAGTAATGGTCCTTAGAGGTACTCATCTTCAGAATCAAGGATGTCAAAGTACTTAGTGGTCCTTAGTGGTAGTCATCTTCAGAATCAAGGATGTCAAAGTACTTAGTGGTCCTTAGTGGTAGTCATCTTCAGAATCAAGGATGTCAAAGTACTTAGTGGTCCTTAGAGGTACTCATCTTCAGAATAAAGGATGTCAAAGTACTTAGTGGTCCTTAGAGGTACTCATCTTTAACAGAGGGTGAAAACGTCAGTCAACACTAACGCCAACAGTCATCCAGAGTACGGCCCTAACCTTGACGATCTATACATTTACATACATGTACTCTTTATATTTTATCAGTAAGTGTTTTCTTTTGAGGCAAACATCGATTTAGGACTCGAAGTTGAACAATACACGTACCTTCAGCTACACCCCAAGGATAGACTCTTGCCCGTAGTTTCTTTCCTCCTACCTCGACAACTGTATTGCTACCGACAACCGCAAATGGTATTCGATCCTAATGTTGGAAAATAAATGACTGTCAATGGTTGCCGAAGCATACATTGTTCAAACAATTATGCCTTCTTTTAAGGCTTCAAGATGTACTGCGTCCGTTACACTTACAGTCATACTGACATCTTTAAGTCTTCGTCATCAACGCCAAGTTCGGGAAACTGGTAGATGCCAATCTTGTTCGAGCCAATTTCATTCAGTATCTAAGATGACGACGAAAATCAACTTGTGTACGCTGAGGGATGGCAATAAAATCTTCGTTCGCTCTGGTCTCCACTTACTTTTTTCTTAAAGTTTTGACATTCCTCCGCGGTTAAACTGTCTGCCTTAGCAATTATTGGAACGATGTTTACCTAAGAAAATAATGGAAACTATCGGACTTGATATTTTGGGGCTCACTAATGTAGAATGGACATTGTTTGTCATTTATTGTGATGATTGACGACAAGTTGTGTGATAGTAACCTACGGAAATTTCCGTTCATTTATCGTTTGTCCATCATGTCAATAAATTGCTAACCCACAAATGCAATGCACTATTGCTGACAGAAAAACATAGCTACGGACATGAACTCAAAAACCAGTTAAATTAACTATAAGAGCTGACAAAAACTGGTAGTGTTAGGTTTTGAAGCATGATTAATCTTTTCATTGATCGTAATTTACCTTATCGTGCAGCCGTTTCATAAATTCTATGTCCAGCGGTTTTAAGCTGTAATATATGATAAATTACATCAGCATAAAGTACTATAAATGATTTTGACAAAGGGTGAACTTCTGTACTGTGGTTTCAAGGCTTTCTGATAATCAAGCAAGTAAAACCTTACTGTACTTTTTGTAAAAGAGAAGTCAAGGTCAAAGCTCTATAAGGAAAATTCATCACTTACGAATGGCCATTTGGTGCTATGAAATACAGACAACAATGTACACGACTATCCACAAGTGCTGTTCTGTTCACCCTTGATTCTTCATTTAAATATTCTTCAAATTTCGATTCGATGAAAGAAATTATAGGCTTCCAACTGAAAAATAGAAAATATGAAAGTTGTTTACATGTTTTTTAGAGGAGAGAAATCATAGTATTACAAGTGAGAAGTGATGAGAGTTTGATCAAGGAAGATTGTATGTATTTCCTTCAAATACGTCACAGAAAACTTTGGAAATATCTTGCAAGCCTTCTTGTGCTATGGATGTTGTTGCAGTTATGTTGAACAACTTTAAAAACACTCTTTAATACCTACCAGTCTGTGTTATCAATGGCATCCCCAAATCCAGGTGTATCAATACAGGTTAACCGTAAGTTTACACCACCCTCTTTTAAAATAACTGTTGAAGCTTGCACCTAAGATACAGAAACAATACGTTTGCTACATTTTTTTGAATAAAAGTTTACATAGGTTAAGTTCAATAAATAAACAAAATAACAATTTAATAAGTTTAGCACTGCTTATTTCCTCAGTCAGTTCTCAGGGCTGTTCCTCTAGTCAAAATTGTAGCTATCCTGCAAGATGGGTCCTGTTATCTATATTTCAGGACATTTACTTTGAAGATCTGTAATTTTTTGCTGGAAGCAAGTAAAGGCAGTGAGATAACCAATAACAAATAAAACTGTACCTCGAGTGTTTGTGCTAATTTTTCCTCAGTACTGGGAAATGTAGCAGCGGTATAAAGATCCGTTAAAAACAGAGAATTCAGAAGTGTAGATTTTCCCAGCCTTGATTCACCTATGTAATAAGCAAAGAACACTTTATATCAGGGAACTTTTTAGTGAGCAATACAAATTTATTAAATAATAAAGTAAAATTTTATTATTATCCAACGCTCTCCGTTAACAAACGATTAGACAAAAGAAAATATTATATACGGCGCGATTTAGTTAAAACCTGTTGAAATATTGAATCATTGCTATTATTATACATCCAACACCTAAAGAAGTGAATTGAATGGCAGGAACTGAGCCGCATTGAGAACGCGTTTGCCTATGTTCAATAAGAAACTTCGCTATAAAGTTTATATTTTTCGTTGAAAAAGCATCAATAGTTCCAAGCAATGGAAATATTGAGATAAATACTTTTAACTGTAGGTGGTCTCAACTTTATCTATAAAGAGTCGAAAGTCTAAGTAAAACAAAAAGTAATTTCGAAAGCAAGGACGGCAAGCCGTTTATCGAAACACAATTCCACAGTTATATGATATATCTGTTTTCTTGTTGACATTAACAAATAACGGAGTATCACAAAAGCCCAACTTATAATATGGAAAAAATTCAAAACAGTGCCTGACTTTGTATCAAGTCTAGAGCTTTTTAAGTAAACCTTACAACAATAACAACATAATAATTCAATTCTTGAAACATTGTTAGCGTAAACTTTAAAGGTACGTTGTTAAATGAGTAGCAATTTTCTTCACCGCATGTCATTACAAAGAAAAACACACAAAGCTTTATATATTTAAATATGCCTGCCTAAAACTCTTCTAAGCACTCTTGTCAAAGTGCACGAGCGATTTTCACGCTAAATAATGGCCAATTTTCTTTGCTAAATTGGTCCCGTATCACCGACGTACACGCTTGTTTAGGAGGTGTCTTAAAAGGGAAAAAAATTCACAGAACTATTTTATAATGTAATTAGAACAATTTTGATTGAATTTCCATTATAAAAGCATAGCAAATCTTTCTAATGAATAGTTCTTTCTCCATACAGACAGGAAAAACAGCCTACTTCATGAATATCGTAAATATTTATTTAACACCGTCCGTCGGGTCGGTTTTTTTGGGAATATTGACACAACCGACATTGACAACGGAAATGTTGGTTCGTTTTCAATACGGGCCAAACCACGCATCACTTACACACCAGAATATCAGAACACTTGGGAATCTCTCCCTTAACAGGGAAGGCTTCCTTATGTCCACCACCATCTGCAGCTCTTTCTCATGTAAGAAATACATCTCACTCTGCCGATTTTAATGATTTCTCAATTCTCTCTTCCTCCTCCAACAATTATGACCTTATGATTCATTAAAGCCTTCCTATATCCAAACTTAAACCCTCTCTTAACACCCAAGGCAACTCAATCCCCCTTCACCTTCTTTAATATACCGCCATTCTCACTTAATTCCGTCATCTAAACTTCCTACTCCCCTCACATGTAATTTAACACCCGTATTATATGCTTGTATTTAAAGGGGTTATATCACGAATTTTAGCCCCCCTTTTTTATTAGCTAAATTGAAAGACCTTATTTCAGTGATTTTAAATCTGCAATTATAATTGAAATTGGATTGGTGAAAGTGATTTTATGGACGTTCAAAGTCACGATTTTCAGCATTTTTTTTGCGAACTTTTTGATCGGTATGCTAATGAGTTGTGACGTAGATAGTTGAACACATATATCAACATGGCGTATTCTACTAGTAATCTTAATAAGAAACGCGGAGGAAAACGCTGTGTTGCTGGCGGACCAAATCAAATTAGTTGCGCCAATGATTCAAAACAGAAGGAATGTCGATGCATCTGTTTCCTAAAAAAGAAACAGAGCCGCAAAGACATAGAAAATGGGTAAATTTTGTGCGTAAACATAGACCGGGTTTTGAGGCTTCCTCTACCTCGTGTCTGTGTTCTGCGCATTTTGAAGATTCTTGTTTTGACCTTAATTTGAGCGTGCAAGTCAAGCTCAAAAGAAGGTTGAAGAAAGATGCTATCCCAACCATTGACGTGGCTGGGATTCCTGAACCATTACAGGACGAAATAACCGATCGAAAGCGCAGACAAGTAAGTTTACGCTTGTTTATGTTAATTTTCTTTGTCATATGTAAATTCGATATATGTTTTGTAGATTATTCGACATACTCTCCATAAGCCATCGCTGAAGGAAACATGTTCTCTCGATGAGGAAGTACCATCTACTAGTGATGGAGCTGAGCATGTTGAAGTATGCACTGGGGAAGCAAACGATTCGCCATTTGAAGAAGAACTACATGCAGTTGGTGAAGATATTTGTGAATCCCAGTCTCCATGTAAATCGTGCCATCGTCTTAAGAAAAAACTTACATCTTTACAAAAGACTTTAAGCTGGTATAAAAATTAATTTTCATGAATAATTTTTTTTATTGTAGTTTAATGCTCAACATGCCCTTTGTGGATGCAGTGCACTCAAGTGTGAAGACCTTATAAGATAAGTTCATGTGGCTTGCTATTTTCCATTTTTACATTTATGCTATGATTTAATTCCATATAATTTTTCTTTTTTTTTCCCAGACTGACATTGAACAAAAGATTTTCTTTACCGTATAGTGCATCCATGTATCTCCTATTTGGTTTTCATCTAGGCATATTTCCTGACCATTCTAAACTCAGCAAAGAAGGCCAACAGTCTCTACAGTGCACAAGTTAAAGACCTTCCATCATCGCCCCTCTGATGGTATGTAACCTTTGTGTTACCACTTGGATATGCTTTCCGAATAAAGTGGTAAACACAAGCAGGTAAAGGCCGAGTATTCTCCCATCCCATAGACCCACAAAACCATCGCATCAACCATCTGTATGCCACAGCTCTCAAGTACCTGAAGTAAATAAAAAGGTTGGACTAATTATTGTTGATGAAACAATGTTGATGATAACATTGTTTCTCATACAATTTACAATCTTACATATTTAATGATTGTGATGCTTGGCGGCGATAAGCACGTCCATTCCTATCTCTCAATAGTGGCCCGACGTTTTCAAGGACAGCCTCATGAACTAAAGGCCCAAATTTGGCATGCTGTGTTATGCATGATATTTTCTCAATGCTGCCATCGAATGTCATTTTCTGCAAAGCTGGTCCTATTTCCTTACAGCATCTGTACTCTAATGCGCCTTCTAACAAATCGGTATGACAGCATTGACAATTACACCTGAAACGTGGGAGCATTGTGGTTTATAAAGTAACTTTATGTATATTACAAACAGGAGAAAACAACAACTTACCATTCACCGAGTGGAATTACGCCATCACTTCGTTGTTCTAAGGTCGCAGGGAGAATTCCATCGGGATCATCTGGAGTATGCACTTCATCACCATCTCCTGCGAGCGGTTCATCGTCATATGCGAAGTCGTTTAAATGCTCGACATAACCCACGGATTCCGAGCTCGAATCAGATACGCATTCAGACATCGAATTCGAATTATCTGAGCACTGATTTGAAGCCATACTTTCCGGACAACTTGTTTTTTAATATTTTATTGAAAATACTGTCATTATTTGTTTTTAAGACAAGAAAAACGACAACAAAATCACCTCCTATAATATAATATTATATTGACGGAAACAGACGTGTTCAACTATCTACGTCACAAGTATCAATATGGCGTCGTAAAAAATTCGCAAAAAGTACCCGACTTTGGAGGCAAAATTAAGCAACTTATATTTATCTGTTTAAGTCCAGCGGCATGTCACAGTTCTTCAAATAATCCAAATTTTCAATTAAGCTAATAAAAAAGGGGGGCTAAAATTCGTGATATAACCCCTTTAAAACCTCGTGTACATAAATAATCTGAAGATGTCTTAAGTTAAAGACGAAACGTTATTAATAAATCCTTCTCTATTTTATTATTGTGATGGCTTTTTTAAAAGTCTTATGTTGGGCTATTATTTTCATATTGAAAATTCGTTTTCAATGCTTTGTATATTTGTCTTTAATAAAGAAACGATTAAGAACAATATGCTTGTGTGGGGTTGCTTCAAATGCAGACTTAAGACTTCAGCTATTCGTGCATTCCTAGAACAACCGGAAAGGCATGATTTACGAGTAAGCAAATATCATAGCCCGGTTCCTGCGTTTTCAAAATTCGCCCTTCCTCCTGTGGAAAGCGAAATGTCATTCTATTTTTAAACTCGGTGCCTCAGTAGACGGTCTCGTACTATTTACAACACAGATCGCGCAGATAATTTTACACTAAATGATAACAGGCAGTAAACTTTGCTGAGAAGTATCGGTTGCACGAGAAGCCTCTCGAGGCACGTAAACAAACACATACCGACGACCATCAAACTGAACTCAAAGCCTTTCTTAACGCTCTTTCGAAATATTTGATTCGGAAGATTAGCGAATCCAACGTAACCATCGAGTTTTTTCGCCGTCTACAATACGAAGAAAAAGATAGAGATTTTGTTTAAAATAGTATAACGAACAAATTGATGTTAAATACTATAATTCTAGTGATAGATATTAAATACAACGCCTTCTTACCGCTTCTATATAAGATTAGAACCAAAGAGAAATCACACATAGAAATAAAAAGATATACATCATCAGAAATTGAACAATGCTACAACTACGTCGATTCGAGTTAAAACAAAAGCGAATAATACGTTAAAGCGCATGGAATATTTAAGAAACTTTTTTACCCCTTCAGTAAATTAGGTTTAACAACGTTTCTCTTTTATTGCCCCTCAATGATTTCTGTTCACATCTAATCTTCTCTACACTCATATTTCCTACTTACCCATATTATTTTAAAACTGTGATCACGAATTAAGTAGGAGTGATCTTTAATAACTATTGATCAAGTAAATTATTGATTCTGCCTGTGATGCTGTGTAATAATCATCTCGTCATCTCAATATAAAGTGTAAGAATTTTTTCAAGGAATAATTCAAAATGAAAGGCAAAGATTATAGTCTTTCCGTGAAAATATGAAAAAATATATAAATAAAAGGCATGAAAGACAAAGACTATAGTCTTTTAGTGAAAATATGAAAAATATATAAAAAATATGAAAAGACAAGGTCTTTTATGAAAATATGTAAATAAA